TCAATCAGAATCTGTGCTTCGGTGGTCCACGAGTCAAAGCGCTCCCGGCACAGGCAAAGATCCCACGCAAGCAGCGATCCAAACAACGGTCCTGTGTTTGTTTCTCAAGAGTTGTAATTTTCCTTTTGTTGTGTAAAAGAAGTCTTATAAAAAGACTATCTCTTTGAATTTATTGTAATCGACCGAAGATATAATGAATTCCATGACAAAACCAACTTTTGACCCAAACATCTGTAACATCGATCGCCAACTAATTAGAGTATTATGTATTCTGAACACATAACCAGTAGTAGATCGTCGTCTGTTTAGATCACCCGCATAATCTGAGTCCACAAACCCATCAATATGACACGTACCTCCACCAAAGCACATACACGTATCAACAGTACCCTTCAAGTATCTTAGGACTCATTTTACTACTTCCTAATGCATCTTTCCCGGATTCACCATAAACCTACTGACAACACCGACCTTCTGTGAAATATCTGGACGTGTACACACCATTGCGTACATCAAACTACAAACTATACTAGCATAAGGTGCACGCTCCATGTGTGCCTTTTCTTTCGCTGTAGTGGAAGATTGTTTACCTGAGAGCCTGAAGTGTGGGGCCAATGGAGTCACCACTGACTTAGCACTTTGCATCTCAAACCTTGTGATAACCCGCTCAATGTAGCCATTCTGACTCAAAAACAATCGTCGATTTGCCCGGTCTCTTCTAATCTCCATAGCCAGTATTTTCTTAGCAGTGCCTATGTCTTTCATCTTGAAATCTTTACTAAGTTAAGAGTTTAACCTATCTATCTTCACATTGCTTCTCGAAGCAATAAACATGTCATCTACATACAAAAGAAAATAGATATAATCACCTCCACGAATCTTCCGAATATAAACACAACAGTCATAATCACTTCTGGAGAACCCATGCTTTAGCATGAAGGAGCCAAATCACATGTACCACTACCGAGGAGATTGTTTCAATCCATAAAGTAATTTTCTCAAGAGACGTACATCATGCTCCTTATCCTCAACCTTGTAACCCTCAGGCTGATGCATATAGATTTCCTCCTCCAAGTCTCTGTGCAAGAAGGCTATTTTGACATCGAGTTGTTCTAGCTCAAGATCATCATGAGTAACAATATTCAATAGCACCCGAATAAAAGTGTGTTTCACCACCGGAGAAAAAAATCTCATTGTAATCCACACCATCTCTTTGTGCAAACCCTTTATCCACTAGTCTAACCTTGTACCTTGTACCACCGAGCTCGGAAGAATCCTCCTTTCTCTTGTACACCCACTTACAACCAATAGCTTTCCTCCCTACGGGCAATGGGACTACCTCCCATGTTTGGTTCTTCTGGAGAGATTCCATCTCTTCCTCCATCGCAACTAACCAATTCTCACTATCCCTGTTCCGAATAGCTTCTTTGAAGGTGACTGGCTCATCATCCTCCACCGAGAGTACGTACTCAACCAAATTTACCTGCTTATAGTGCTTTAGAGGCTGATTTGACCCCAGCTTCTGAACTTGCTTGTATGCTCGCCTTGGCCTAGTGGAAGCCAAAATATCTTTGAGCTGCTATTGTTGTAATACATGTACATTTTCTTACTGAACCTCCTTTTGTTCAAGCTCATCATCACTCTTTTACCAAGTATCTCCATGATCCACCTCTTGAACACGACTAAAACCTGGTTGGTCTTTAGGTTCTATCTCAATCACCTCGGATTTTGAGGTCCTAACAGTCTCAACACCATCATCCTCGGGCGTCCTAAATTTTGATAAAGCTATCATAGATTTCTCATCAAAGGTAACATCTCTGCTGACCATGAACTTAGAATCTTCTGTACACCAAAGGTGATAGCCTTTTACGCTATTTACATACCCCAAGAATATTGCCTTCTTGGCCCTCGCATCAAGATTTCCCTCGTTGACGTGATAGTAGGCTATACATCTGAAAATCCTGAGCCTATCGTAATCTGCATGCTCCCCTGACCATACCCTATAGGGTACATCATCATCCAATATCAAATGTGGAGAACGATTCACTATGTAACAAGCTGTAGCAACTGCTTCTGCCCACCATTCTTTGCCCAAACCAGCATATGATCGCATACTCATTGCTTTCTTCCGTAATGTATGGTTCAGTCTCTTTGCGAATCCATTCTGTTGTGGTGTAGACATGACTTTCCAGTGTCGATCAATACCCTCCTGATCACATAACTTCTTGAAAGCACCATCTGTATACTCTGTACCGTTATCAGATCTCAGTGTCTTCAATTTCTTATCTGTTCTATTCTCAACCATTGTTTTTCACTTCTTGAATGTCTCGAATACCTCATTCTTATGCTTAAGAAAATAAATCCAAGCATACCTGGAATGATCATCTATAAACGAGACAAAATACCAAGAACCATCCTTGGAAGTTGTCAGAGCCAGATCCTAAACATCTGTATACACATAGTCTAATATACATATGCTCTTGTGCTTGCTTTTTAAGAACTAGACCCTGTGCGCCTTTTCATACACACAATCCTCACAAAAATCCATGTAAGGTTTCTTCATGTTCTTCAGCAAACCTTCCTTACCAAGCAGATCTAGACCATTGTCTGACATATGCCCAAGCTGCCTATGTCATAACCGAATGTGCTCACATGGGTCTCTACCACTTCCATCAGTTTCAACCGCTGCATCTCCTGTCACTGTCGTACCTGAGAGAGTATATAGATTACCATGACGAATGCCCTTCATCACTACCAGGGAACCTCGAACAACCTTCTTCACTCCATTCTCTGTAACTATCTTGCAGCCACCGGAGTCCAAAGAACCAACTGAGATAAGATTCTTCTGCAAGTCGGGAACATGCCTCACATCCGTCAGGGTTCTGACCACTCCATCATGCATCTTGATTTTAATATCACCATGCCCCACCGTTTTACAAGCATGGTTATTCTCCATCAATACGGTTCTACCATTAATGCTCCTATAGACAGTAAACTATTTCCTATTTGGACACATATGGTAAGAGCAACCCGAATCAAGAATCTACTTACCAGAGACATATTCACCACACGTAACGGTATAGCATTATTTTTCGCTCCCTTATTTTGAAACATAACTCACCTCTTTCTTACCTTCTCTTCTATCGGTTTTATTGTTGTTCTTCTTCCCACCTACTCTCTTGTTAGGAAATTCAACTTTGAAATGCCCAAGCTTACCGTATTTGAAGCACGGGCTTCCTGCAAAAGGTCTCGATTTCGATCTAGACTTTTCTTCCTTGCATTTTCCTCGATCATTGCCCCTTCCTCTTACAAACAATCACTGTGCTTGTTCCTCCACTAGTAGCCATGTCACTAATTATAATTTTTCGAAGATCATCCGCTAGAAGCGTTGTTCTAGTCTCATCCATCTTCAAATTATCACCTACAAGCATCAATGTTTGTACCAGGTTCTCATAAGACTTCGGTAAAGAAAGAAATAGCAGAAGTGCTTGATCCTTATCTTCTACTTTCATATTAATATCATTCAAATCCGATATTATCCTATTAAACTTGTTGATGTACTCCCGGATTGATGAGCCTTCCTCCATCTTGCAAGTATACAAGTTGGATTTTAAGTAGATCCGATTTGTTAGACTCTTCGTCATGAATGTACTCTCTAACTTTGATCATACACCCTCTGCCGTTGCCTCTCCATCCACCAAGAAAGGGACATCACTCTCAAGGCATAGGATAATCAATGCTCGTGCTTCGAGATCTAACTCTTCCCAATCCTCATCTGACATATCTTTGTGTTTCTTTTTTTTCCTACCAAAGCCCTGTGCAATTTCTGCAAAATCAACGAGTTGTTTATTTGCATCCTCCAATAGGAAAAATCATTCTTCCCATTGAACTTTTCAATCTCATCTTTTCCACTTTGATTGTTTTACTGGTAGACGTCATTCTCCGCTTGTTTTAATAAATCTGCTTCTCTCAGGAATTTTAACAAACGCATTGTGTGCACCACACAATAACCAAAGCACCACCTCAAATCGAAAGTTCTACCACCACCAATCTGATCAATGGCTCTGATACCAATTGTTGGAGGTTGACACGCCCACCTCGCCGTGGAAGCGAATCACCTTGAGAGAAAGTCCTAACTTTTGTTTTCACAAAACATAAGTCAATCTCGATGTTCCTATTTCGATAACAAAAACAATAACAGAAGAGAATATCTCAGCAAGGTGAGATATACACTCTTCCTCTCATCAGTTCTTCCAATATCAAATCTAGGTCTGAATATCGAGGGAACCAACCAACACAAGGAATAGCCAATACAATAAGTGAGAGACGAGATTTACGTGGTTCGATAAACTTGCCTATGTCCACGGGGAGGGGTGAAGGGAGATTCCACTATGATGAAGAACACCGACGATTTGTACAACTCACAAGCTCGTCCCAAGGATGAAGCTTTGATTTTTACCCAAGAGAAGATGACCTCTTTCTTGTAAAATCCCTCCAAGCACTCAATTTTTTCTTTCCTCAAGATCTCACCTTTTAGATCTGAAAAACTCTCTTTTTCGTTGACGGCAGCCCCTCTTCTCTACTAAAAACCCTAGGAACGAATTCCTATTTATACTAAAGAAAACAGGTAAAAAAAACGCCCGAAAGCCCACTGTTCGGATCCACGCCCGCTCTATCTCGGATCACCGCGAGACACCCTGAGGTGTCTCGGGTGGTGAGACACCTTGGGTGTCTCGCATGAGCGAGACACTCATGAGCGAGACACCTTCAGGTGTCTCACTCACAATATCTCCTGTATTAGATTACTGTCATCATACACTGAAAAAGAGCTTATAGAAGAGGGTAGAAGGGAAGTATACGTTCTACTCTTTATCCAGTTATACTAGAAAGTTTTCCATTGTGGTTCTCCAATAAGTGAAAAATAAATGCAGTCACAAAATTTTTGTCAAGGTCAGTGTTCTGCGTCATGATGAATTAGTAGGCAATTGTTGTGGCCTTACCTGAATGAAGGCCTTGATGTTTTTTCTTGTCAACTTCATCTCTGCATTACCATCATCGGCTATGTCAAGCATTATATCCAGCAAATCTTTCGCTCTTCCCTCGGCAGTACGGACTTCTTTTCTCCTTTCCCCCTCCTTTTCCTTCAGTACCCCCTCCAACAGCGTATCAAACCTCTTTAACACATCCTCCATTCTCTTATCAAAACCTTGCAAGTCCAAGTTTTTACATAATCCTATATAATCTGCCAAGTTAAATTTCCCCACAAGCTCAGTTGCCTGCTGTACGATCTTTCGTACCTCCTCTGCATCCGAATCACCTTCTGAGCACGTCCGGCTCATTGCCATCCTGCTTATCACATTGTTCGTCAGTTTCACGAGCTCCGCACTCATGTTGACCTCCTCGCCTTTATCTGATTTCTCAAACAACGTTTTCACAAGCCTCGTAATCTCCTGGCGCCGCACAGGCAGGAGCTGTTCAAGTGTTTGGCCACCTAACAATTGTGTCATGTAGATCTTCTTCATT